TGCTAGGTGGGGAGCCTGCTTCTCCCTCTGCCTCTGCCTCTCTCTCTCTCTCTGACTCTCATGAATAAATAAATAAAACATTTAAAAAAAAAAAAAGAGTGACCTAGAAGTGGCTATGGCGTCCTGACCCCATGATGGCCAAATGGGCGCCCCCCCACTGCAGCCAGGGGGTGCTGCTAAGCAAAGCATAGAGACTGCACAGGCCTTAGGGGCCACAGCCCAGGAACCAGTCTGGCCTCCAACCCGCGTAGGATCTGAGAGCACAGGTGGCCTGGTGCAGGTGACGAGGAAGGCAGGCTGGGTGCCACTCACATTTCCAAGAAGGCCATCGACAACTTTGACCCGTGCTTTGTGACAGATCTGGAACCTTCAAGTCCCCCCAGCTGGCTGTCCCCCTGGAGTTTAGCAATAATTTCCTTAAAACCTGGAAAGAGGATGGGGGCCCGATGAGGGACTTTGAAGAGAGTCAGGGAGTGAGTGAGAGCAAATCCTGACAAGCTCCCTATCTGAGAGGTGGGGGAAGAGGAACCAGGAGACAGGGGAGGGCGGGATGAGTGGCTGGAAGTGAGAGATGAGCAGGCTGGGGGCGGGGGCTGGCCTGTGGAGCACTGACTGAGAAGCCCCGCAGCCCTGGGTTTGATCCACTATTTATTGCCTGTGGGAACTCCGACATAGTACTTTTGCTCTAAGCCTCGGATTTCCCACCTGTATGATGTGGATAATGATGCCTGCCTTACATGCTTCAACTCAGTCCCTTTGCCTTTCTTCCTCCAGATGGGCCGCAGGGCTGTGGAGAAAGATCTCTTTGCCATCCACCCTCAAAATAGATGAGTAAGAAGCCAGGCCCAGAACACCCTGTCTTTAAGCTCACTGACAATGGGTGCAAAGGCCAGGCAGTGACACAAGAGCATTTTGCAGGGAGTTGCAAAAGCAAAATCAATCTACCGATCTACAATCTACGGGCTAAGCAGCGCTTTGGAATAGGAAAATGACAAGAATCTGCAGTTGCGAATATTAACCGCTCAGCCATACTTCCTGACCAATTAAAGGGGAGGTAGAGGGATGACCGAAAGAGCTAGGTTTTTTGGTTTTGTTTGTGTGTGTGTGTGTGTGTGTGTGTGTGTGCCAACAAGTATGATTTATTCTGGAAGCAGATATCTTCTAGGATTTTTTACTGTGTGGATTGTTAAAAATCATTCCTCGTGGAGTAGGGAGAGACTGTCATACCTACAACTGCCGGGCGCAAGGACCCCATTCCATGAACAGAGCTCTAGGTCAGCCCCTTGACGGGGTTGGACAGGCCAGTGTGGGGCTGGAGAGTCTGGGAATGGGGGCTGGGAAGGGAAGCCGAACTGGTGTGTTGGAAAAAAATACTAAATGTGAGAGAAAGTTCCTACACATGCTACAACATGGATGAGCCTTGAGGACATCCTACCCAGTGAACTAAGCCAGTCGCAAAAGGACTCATACGTTGGGGCTCACTGATAAGGGGTGCCTGGAGCAGTTCTGTTCATAGGGACGGACAGTAGGAAGGTGGTTGCCGGGAGCAGAGGCGGGGGGAATGCTGTTCGTGTTTAATGGGCACAGAGTTTCAGTTTTGCAAGATGAAGAGAGCTCTGTGGACAGATGGTGGCGATGTTTGCACAACAATGTGAGTGTACGAAATTACCACTGAACTGTACATTTGAAACATGGTTAAGATGGTAAATTTTATGTTATGTGGATTTTACCATAATAAAAAAAAATGGGAAAGAAGGAGAATACAATGCCTGTGGGCTTTCTGGGGGCAAACTGGGGGCAGGGATGAGCACGGGGGGGGGGGACAGAGCCAATGAGATGACAAGGGGCCTGCTGCCGCCAGGGGGACATCCTCAGTGGGAGGGGGAGCTTTAAAAACACAAGGCGATTTAACATTGACATGATGCTGTTGGCTAGATTCACAGCAGATCCGCATCCAGCCCCTGATCTGGGCTGAAGCTGGCTGCACACACAGGTTTTGTGTGAATGGGGTCTTTGAGAAAACCCAGGGGGACCTAATCCATCTGAGCTGCTGTGAGGTGGACCCGTGTTGCCAGCACGGGAAGGAGCCACGGTCCAGGGACCTGACTCAGTGGAAGTAGGAGCTCAGAGCCACAGGTGACCATACCACTGTGGCTTCCCAATGCCTCCATGTCTCCCTGTCCTGGCTTTCCAGGCAATCTGCAGAAATCTCAAGGAACACTGGACTTCCCAGAGCATCAAAGGCCATCTTCTCTAGATGGTAAAGGATATCGAAACCCCAGCTGGGGCCCATTTATGGAAGGTCTCTTTCCTCCTTGATCTTTCCAACCACCATTTGGCTAAGGCTTATGCGTTTCAGGTTGCAGCTGCCACCTTTGGTGAGGGTTGCTGTTTGGAAGGCAGTGGAACACAGTGGGGAAAAGCGGGAGTTGCCCAGCCAGACACGCTGGATTTGGGGCCTGCCCCTGCCACTTACTGTGTGGCTTTGGACAAGTTATTTCACTGTTTGAGCCTTGATTTATTCATCTGTAAAATGGGAGTGATGATATTCATGGTCTGCCTCACAGAGCTTTTGGGAGAATTGAATATGGTACTGCTAGGAACTCAGCAGTTGGTATCGATGGTTACTTTACGGAGGCCTGTGGGTTCTGACCTCTGCTCTAACCTACCCAGAGCCCTTTGTGTCTTCGCTCAGGAGGGACAGAGCCTCCTTCTCAGGCTGCCCTTCAGCTCCTAGGAACATAGAACCACTGGGTAAGCCCCGCGTGGGTACCACGCGGGGTACCACTTGGGCTTTCTCCAAGGGAATGGGACAGTTCTGTGCAGCCCATCCCCGCTCCTGGAATAAACGAACCCCAAGCACAGACCCACTACAGACAGTAGAGTGGAATTGTCCTCCTAAAGGGAAGGCAGCCTTTTAATGGGCTCTGTGTGATAGGAAAATCGGTGTTGCTGTTGAGGTGGTGGGGCTGAGAACAGCCTCAAACCTGGGGGCAGCTCCTGAGCAAGGCGGGCAAAGGGACTCGGACTCAGCATTCTGCCTTTGGCTTTGAAGTTCTCTCTTCTGCGTTCTGGCTTGAATGCATCCGAAGAACTTGTGCTCTCCCGATATACTCTGGAGGTAGGGAAGACATCAGTCAGGAGAGGACCGGGAGGGGCCAGGCCCCTGGCTGGGAGCTGCTCGGGAGACCTAGTGGAGCTCTTCTCCCCTCAAGGCCCCAGGCAGATGTGGGGCAAGCCCAGCTTTTGCTCTGGGCTCTGCTGGTGACCTGGGAGGAGCCGACTCCCTTCTCTGAGCTTCACCTCCACCTCTTCTTTCTACACCCAGACAACAAATACTTAGGGAATACCTACTCCATGCCAGACGCTCAGCCCCCTTAGGACCCCTTATAGTCCAGTGGGGGAGAATACTCTACATGGCGGGTGGCTGTGCTCTTCTCAGCCCCTGCCCTGGCCAAAGGCCCCAGGATGATGCAGCAGCCTCCTCCCTGGTCTTCCCCCATCCCCTCTGGCCCCCGAGAGACAATCCGTTCTCTACTCAGCAGCCAGAGGCGTCCCCCCAGGCCCTGCTCGTAAGGCTCCAGTGCACCCCCACGCCCTCTGCATGGGACCACAGGCCGGCCCTGCCCACCTATCCCATCTCATTTCTTACCTGTCCTGACCCACAAGACCCCAGCCACCCTGACCTGCGTGTGCTTTCACCCACACCCCGGGCAGGTGAGAGCCCTACTTCTGGGCTCTCCCTAGACCCACATCGGGCTGGATCCTGCCTGTTGTTCAGCTCAAGGAGGCTTCTCCACACCCTGCCAGTTCTTCTTACTGTCCCTCCTTTACCCTGCTTTCTTTTCCTTATGGCACCTAATCCCCCCGGCTGTTTTCATTTGTTGTGTGCACTCCCCGTCACGAGGAGGATGTAAGCTCATAGCAGTGGGAACCTGTCTGGACTCTTCCGCGGAGCCGAGCTCACAGCCGCTAAGAAGTCTGCATTGAATAAACGAGTGACTAGACGAATGGACAGAACGGGCAGCTTCATCTCCGGGGTCCTTGGATCCCCCGAGGCGTACGGCCAGGGCGGGCCTTGGGGAGCCCCCGGGATGATCTGCTGCGTGGACTCTTACCTGGTTTGTCGCCTTTGGGTAGGGGCGGTGGCTTCATCTTCTTCGGGGATTGGCTATAAAGAACACAAAGACCAGGCTGGGAAGGTGAGGTGGGGGCAGAGTAGCAGGGTGCGGGGGTGGGGGCCAGGGAGGGAACCGCTCCAGGGAGGCGCATGAGCCACCCCTCCTGGAGATCCCCAAAGCATCGGCTCCCCTGTCAGGAACCATCCCAGCGGGACCCTGAGAGAACTGTGACTCCTGTGCCTGGCTGTGGCCACAAGGAACCAAGGCCCTCTGGCCCTCTGGAGCGGTGAGGGAGGCCTCCGCCCCAGCCCACGGCAGCGCACCCCAGCCCCCGCTTGGCTCCCGCTTCCTGGCAGAGAGGAAACCTTCCCCCTGTGAGTGGAGAAACCGGAGCTCCTGCTACCCTAACAGAGGACTTGAGCAAGCCTGTTTACACACCCAATGTAATTGTCCTCCCTACGACTCTGGGAGAGGGGTTTTGAGAGGTGCAGCCGAGGCCCACGGATGGGCGGTGGCTTGCCCAAGCTCACAGTGAAGCCTACCTTCCTCCTGGGCCTCCCCTGGTCTCAGAGCAGAAAAGAGAACCCAGCTCAAGGCCAGAGCGAGAACCTAGGTCTTCAACAAACCTAAATGAGCACAAGCACCTGCCCCCTTCTCACCAAGCTGCAACCACCCCCAAACTTAACTAACATTCCCTAGAGTGAGCACATTCCTGCCTTCCCTTCCTGACGCCCCCCCCCCCCCCGTCTCACTGGCTCCTTCAAATCCTCCCTATCCTGCAGCGTTCCCCAAGCTCTATCAGAAAAAACTCGGGAGATTGTCAAAATGACGCATCCCCTGGCTTATCCCCAACCTGCTGTGTCGGAATCTCTAGGAACCTGCATTGTTCACAAGGTCTCTGGCAAATCCACATGCTGCTGGCCCGGGAAGTTAGACTGGCCCGAGGCTGAATCCCAGTTCTGCTGCTGGTCAGCTGGGTGACTTTGGGCCACCATTCAACTGTTGCTGAGCCCGAGTTTTCTAATCTGTAAAATGGGGGTACCCCTGCCTCCGCGGGTGGTTGCGTAGGCTGCAAATACATGAGCCTTCTGCTGATGTCAGGCAGCACAGTGGTCATGCATTATTGCCAGTTCCGTTGCCGACACCTGGCCCTACTCACCTGCCTCGTGAGTAGGCACCTCCCTCGTGAGTAGGCACCTCCCTAACCTTCCCTTGCCCTGTGTCCTCCGGCTGTGCGAGGCGCTTAACACCGCCATTAAGGTACTTCTGCTGGCCTGCTAGCTTTCCTTCTCTTCTTGCCTTCCCAAAGACGGAGAGCTGGAGGGCTCATATGTGGCTTCTCCAGGGCTGCCTTGCTACCGCTGACACAGGTCACCCCTTGGGCATCCCCCAGAGCCAGCTGCTGAGGCCTGGGCTGGCAGAGGGGCCTTCAGGCAGCACGGGCAGGCCTGGGGGGGGTCCCCGGGGGAGGGGCTGCACCTCCTCTCCCTCCAGCACAGGCTCAGTGAGCCCAGGCTGTGGCCAGTGCCCGGATCCCTTTTCCAGACCAGCCTGGCCTCACCTGGGAGGACAGGTGGCTGGACATGAGGGAACAGTTCTGGGAACAGAGGGACAGGTGGGGGGTGTGGAGCCCACCTGTAGGGTGGCTGTTGCCTTTCTTGAGATGGCTCTTGGACTTCCTGGAGCTGATCGAGAAGTTTTTCCACCGGGATAGAGTCTAGGGGCTGCGGAAGGAGCTGAGCCACCGCTGTCTGCAGGAGTCCCAGCGCCAGCTCTTTCTCTGTAAGCACAGCCGGGGGGCACGGTCCTCAGTGGCAAGACCCACCCTGTCCTGTCCCCACAAGGGACAGGCTGGAAGCAGGGCCTCTAGCTCTTCTGCCCAACCCTGGCCCAGGGCAACTCTCTCTAACCATTTGACGTTCTGCCTCTAGGTCCCCTTTGCGGGGGGGCCCCCCTTCTGTCCCGGCCCCTATGTATGCAGAGCACCCAGCCCTTCCCCACCTGTCACCACACGATCACATGCATGTGCCTTGTTCTTGGCCGCCTCTGGCCCACCCAGCAGCCATGGCTCCAGGCTGTCTCTGGGAAGCCCCCGGAGGACCTGCCTCCAGCCCCTGCCCTGCCTCTCCTCCTCTCCCTCCAGCTCCCGACAGCACTCCTTAACCCCCACTTAGATACAGCCCCCACCATCCCAGGGTGTGCACAGGTGTCCGCTCATGCGTCCGCTCATGCATCTGCTCACGCGTCCCCGTGTATATGTTGTGTCTGGGTGTGCATGTTTCCCACAGTGCTGGGTGTGAGGGGGTCTGTCTGCTGAAGACGTCTCTGGACTTCTCCATCCCAGGTGCCAAGGGCGGTGGTCAGCCCAAAGTCCCCTCCGAGAAGCAGGGTGGTGGCAGTTCTGCCGAGGGGGAGGGAGGAGGGAGCAGAGGGGCCGTCCGGCTGGAACAGGTTCGTTTGGGGCTCCAAAAATGAGTAGCAGCCCAGGCGGAAGGCCCTGGGTGGGAGCCGAGTGACATCCAGAGAACAAGGCCCTCAACAGCCTCCAGCCCGAGAAAGCCCCGGGGCACGGGCCGTGTCCTCACCCTTCGGGGGAGCATACAGGAGCCAGAACTGGATAGCGCTCAAGGAGTCTGTCTGCAGGATCTGACAAAGGAGCTCCAGGATCTGCGGGCAGGACGACAGGCCTCGTGTCAGCGTGTCTGGATGGCATGTCCCAGCCCGCAGCACAGACCCCTGTCCTACAACGTCCTAAACCGGTCCCCACCATGGCTCCTGCCCGTGATTTGGCACTTTACAGAGCACTTTCTCTGCCACCAGTCCCAGGGGAAGAGTCTTAACCTCCTCACTGGACAGGGGAAGAATCGGAGGCCTTGAAGGAGGACACCCAGCAGGGAGACTGTGGCAGAATGAAGCTTCGGAGTCACGTCTGTGGACCCCTCCTTCCTGAACCCCACGTGGGCTGATTGTACCCCAAAGTCCCTCACTGGGAAGGCAAAGTGAGAGCGGGCTGGTCAGCCGCTCAGAGACGCACCGAGTCCCAGATCCCTGGGTCCTTGGCGTGGGGATTTCAGGAACCCCACAGGCCTTCCCACCCTGGAGCTCCCAGGGTCTGGAGATGCTAGCATGGAGGTGGGGTGATCCCAGTGGGCGGGCTGAGGGTCAGGGCTGGCTGCTTCTGCAGACTGCCCAGCCTGGGGCTCCATTTCGCCGAGCAGCGTGCACACTTCTTTCTCGGCCGCTTCCTTGGCCGCTTCCTCGGCCTTGGGCATCTTGGCCACTTTCGGGCCCTCTTCCACCTGTGTTCTCCAGGTAAGTGTCATCGGGAGGAGATCCAGCTCTGGGTCGGGTGGGATATGGGGGCTCCCTAGGCGGGGCTGCTGATGGCGCCTGTGGCTGCGGTCGGCTGGAGTTGGGGCCTGCGGTAGGAGGTGGAGCCCCTGGAGTCCTAGGAAAGTGGGGTCCCCTCAGTGCTTAGCAGTTGGTCTTCCCAGGACCTGACAGGGCCTCTCGGTCCCCAGCAGGTCTGCCTCATCCTTGGCAGAGTGGGAACCAGGCCGAGACTCTTCCCAGGCCTCTGCCTGCTAGGGTGCCCCCTCAGCCCCAGATACCCACCCGCTGCAGTGATCCCCCACCCTGGGTCTGCCCCTGGGCCCTTCTCCGTTCTCCGCGTCCGACTTACCTGCCCTGGGCCCCCTCCCCACAGGACCCGAGAACCTAATTCCAGGCAAGGTGAGGCCGCCCTATGGTGGAGAAAGTTACTGTTCTAGTCCCGGCTATGCTGCTCCCTCACTGGGGACCTGGGCCACAGAATGTCACCTGGCAGGGCCTTAGTCTCCCCGTCTGTGGAATGGGGGTTCCAGGCCCTGTCTGCTCTAGCCACTTCACTGGACTCTTGTAAGTCTCCAAAGGGACTGCAGGCTTGAAAGCGCTGGTCGCAGGGAGGGTGTCAAGATGCTGGCGCAGGGTCTACCCTTTCCTGAAGAACATGTATGCATTTGAAAAGGGACCGTGAGATATAGCCTTAACCCACTGGCATCGGTCCTGGACTCATCTCAGGCCTTGTCGGGGAAACTTGCACAGGAAAGGGGTGGGTCTGTGGGTCTGTGCGTCACCGTGGCAGAGACCAAACCCCTCCGAAGGTGAGGAGACCCAGCTGGGGCTGGCCTGGCTGGCTGTCATTCCCCCACTGTAGCTCCCTTAGCCCTTCGCGACGACACATTCATGCTCCCAGCTTGGGCAGATCATGGAACTAAAGCCCCGAGGGGAGAAGGCCTTCAAAGAGAGGGAAAGCCTCCCACAGAAACCTGGAAGCAACAGGGGATTGGATCCAGGGGCTTGACTCGCAGGTGGGGAGTTTCTGGGGCTGACAGTCTCAGGTACAAGTATCCCCTGGGAGAGGCCACACTGCCTTTTTTTTTTTTTGAGAGAGAGAGAGAAAGGTGGGCGGTGGGGCAGAGGGAGAGGAAGAGAGGATCTTAAGCAGGGTCCACCTCAGCGTGGAGCCCGAAGCGGGGCTCCATCTCAGGACCCTGAGATCATGACCTGAGCCAAAATCAAGAGTTCGATGCTTAACTGATTGAGCCCCCAGGCACCCCGAGAGGCCACACTTTAAAGCAGTTTGTAAGCACCCCAGTTGGGATTGCTGTGAGCCTGGGAGCAGCAACCACCATGTTTGTAGCCCTCAGACCAGGCGTCCGTTGGGCCATAGTTCCCAGCGTTCCCAGGGCCTCACCAGCAGCTCCTGATCCTGCAGGACAATGGTCTGGACTCCTCCATCTTTGCCAGAAGGATAAATCCGGGGGGCCTGGCGGGAGTGGCGGCGACCAATGGCTCGGGTGGAAGTGGGGATGAGCCTCCCGGTCTCGGCCGAGTACTTTGCCCCCTGCTCCCGCTGAGGCTCCTCCTTCTGCTGGGAGCAAAGTGGCCAGAGACTCCAGGCAGTGAGAGAGAGATTGAGAGAGAGAGAGAGAGAGAGAGGTTCAAGGAAGAAGGCAGAGGGGAAGAGAAGGAAGCCCCGTCACACCTCCAGGGCATCACCTCACCTCCTGGAATCCTAGCATCACAACACTGCAGGGAACTGGGAGGCTGACCAGACCAGCCCCACCCTGCCCTCTACTCCTCTCCCCAGCCAGGGGCCTCTCCATAGCCAAAATTCTTCCTCCTGAAACTTCTTGAATTCTGGAGCCCCTCTGAAGTCCTCATATTTCCTCCTAGGGAGACCCTCCTTCCCTCTCCACCCCGTGCCCATCAGAGATTTAAAAGCAATATCCCGGGCTGAAGGCCCCCATTGCCTACCTTAACTCCCAGCTCAGCTGCCCCCAAGTTTGTCCCCTAGAGGTTGGCATTCTTTCTTTGCCCTGGGAAACCGTCCTGAGCCAAGCTTGGGGCTATGAGGCCTGGGACCTCCTACCCCTGCAACCCCAGCTGAGACTGGTAGTATACTTCTGATTTTATTTATTTATTTATTTAATTTTTTGTTTTAGAGAGAGCAAGAGAGCCCATGTGCTTGAGTGGGGGAGGGGGGCGGGTGCAGAAGAAAAGGGAGAGAAGCAGACTCCCCGCCGAACACAGAGCCCGACACCCAACGTGGGGCTCAATCTCAGGACCCTGAGGTCAAGTTGGGCGCTCAACTGGCTGAGCCACCCAGGTGACCCTATACTTCTCCCCATTTTAAAGATAAGAAAACAGACCCAGAGAGCTTAGCTGAGTTGCCGTGAGCATTGCAGTGAGTTAGCCGCAAAGCAGGAATGAGAACTCTGTTGCCCAAGACAAGGGCAGAACCAGATTCTGTCCCAAGGGCCAGACCTGTCCTCAGTCCAATTCCAAATACCTCCAAGCTGCCTCCCAGTTGTCTTTACTGGATTACCAGCAAATGGCCCCCATGAGGTCACCCCATCCTGTCTGAAATCCTTCAGTGAGTCTCCACTCCTTATGAGATTCGACACTACAGTAAGTTCAGAAATTAAGAACAAGCTCCTCTTTTTGCCCACATTCAAAGTTGGCCCCTTCTCACCTTCCCCGCCCCCCCCCAACATGGCTGCCCACTTATCCCTGTACTTCAGCCACGGTCTCTTAGGATGTCCTGCATTTCCCAGCTTCTGAGCTTCTGTGCGGCAGGCCTCACTAGGAATGCCTCCCCTGCCCACGTCCAGACACCCCACCTCTGTTACGAACCCTCCTTGGATTTCCCCACCTAGCCACCTTCTCTTCTCCTTGGAGCTCTTGCTGCAACTCTCCTCCTTCAGGTTGGTGTTCTGCAGCCCCCTCCTCCCCATGCCAACAGCCCCCCACTCTTGTGGACACGGGCTCTACTGCCCGTGAGGTGGAACCCACTTGGGAGGGGCTTTGTTACAAAGGGCTGGACCCTTCGGATCTCTTCCCAGGCAGCTCCTTTGTTCTACACCCACCTCTTTGCTCTTCAGCTCATTCTCCTTGGTGAAGATGGCCACCTGGGAAGTCAGGTCCTTCAACTCCTTCTTCCAGGCCTCTGGGAAGACATTGCCAGCTGATACCTGGGGTCCTCCTCCCTGCCCTCCCGGTGGTACCCGGCATTGGGAGGGCGGTGGGGGGGAGCAGGGAAGAGCCTGCTCACCTCCCCAACCTTCCACCTTATATCTTACAGGAAAAGGGGGAGGCGGTAACCTTGAGGGAAGGAGGAGGAATCCACCCTTTGGTGGATGAGGGTGGTCACTACTGGAGGGGGCCGACATTGATATCCTAGCCTGTGGCTTCACTGGGAGGTGCTAGAGATGCTTGGCTACCTGCACCAAGATGTGCGCAGGTTAATCCAGCTTTGCCTCTCTTAGGCACCTGAGGCCAGCACTGAGACTCAGTTGCTGTGCTGTACCAGTCACTCAGATATTGACCTGCTCCTGGCGAAGTTGGGGACGTGGCACTGCGGTGAGCCTCCCTAGCCTCCCTGCCCTGCACGGCTGTCCTGGATCCTTCCCGGGGCCTCTCCTGACCCCGACCCTACCAGTGGGCTTCCCCTTGGCCCTCAGGGAAGGGTAAGGAGCAGGGCAGGGCAGTGGCCGCCGGAAAACTGCCGCTCCAGCTCCATCTTTGGCTGACTGCTCCGAATGGCCGGTGCCCGAGCATCCAAGTGACACAACATTTCCAATATCGTCCCTGTCTGTGGCTGTAAGTCACGTGACTGTGGCCCAAATCTGCCTGTCGTCTGATTATCAGTACTCCTCAAACACCTCAAATCGGAGTAGGGGCCATGTTTCTGAGGACCTGGGGGATGGGGAAGTATGCAGATGCTGCTGTCTGAGGAAACGAGGAAAAATCTAGGGTACCCCACAGGACCGCACTGACCTAAGAGCTCTTTCCTTCCCAGGAACCTGGGGAGGGGCTGCTGCCCAAGTACCCACCGGAAGAAAGCCGGGGTTCCCGATTGGACTGCGGGTCTCCGATGGGGACAGAGATGGTGGGCATCCCCATCAGACAGCGGGATAGAAGTGTGGCTTGAGGCAAGGGGGCCAGAGAGAACTCGTCTCTGACGACACACACGGGCTTCCCGGTGAGATCTGTGAAGGGTGAGAGGCCGTGGGAAGGAGGTGGGTGGACCCCAGGAACCCCGGGAGAGGGGGAGGAGGCTGGTGGGCAGGGAGAGCACTGAGCCCGCTTCTTCCATAACCACAAGCCCATAGATCGCTGGAGCTGGGAGGCCCTTCGGCCACAGAGGCCTTACCCACGGGGACATTAGAGTGGACTGTGACAAGCTGTGCTCAGGGTCACGCAGTGAGTCAGGTGGAGGTGAGATAGGAACCCAGGCTTCCTGGGACCCTAGTCCTGGGGTCCTTCTGATTTTCTAGGACAGTGCAAGGAACTGCAGGTGTGAACACATAGAGGTAGGCAGCTTAAAGAGGAGGACACGGGGCTGGGTCATTAACCCACAGTCTGTGACCAGAGGGGCCTGGGCTCAAATCACAGGGAGTAAGATTTAGCTAGACCCCCTGGATAAAACTCTTTGCCATCTGTCAGCTGTGCAGGGCAGCCTGGAGGAGGTGGTGAGCAGCTTACACATGAGGACCCTTCTGGCTTACGGTCTGTGTGACAGTGTATTATCGTCCATCGTGAAGCTTCGAGGACCAGCCTGGTTAGGCTCTGGCATGGTGGCTCACTCCGTCCTTCTGGAAACACTCCTCTGTTGGTCGGGTGTCCCCTCATTCTCCTGGCCCCTCCTAACTTGCAGGCCGCTCCTTACTTCTGCTGCTCCTTCCTTTTCAGCTCCTTGCCCCCCTCGGCCTTGGGGTCCCTGGGCTCTCCTGCATCTACACAGGCTCCTGGCTTGCCCATCCAAGCATGCCACTTCCAATGCCATCCCTCCTCGAATGGCCACATCAGCATCTCTCACCTGAACCCCGGGCCCGGCTGCCTACTCTGCACTTCTGCCACCAAGCCTGAAAGGTATGTGGAGCCTGGCATCTCCCAGGTCCCCACCAAATTCCCCACCCCTCCCCCACCCTGTGCTGGCCCTCGCTTCAGGCTTTTTTGCCTCACAGCCAATGTGATTCTGGTTTTCTAGTCACTCAGGCCCAGCACCTGGGAATCAGCCTTGACTGCTCTCTGCCTTTCCTACTCGTTTTTAACTACTCTGCAAATCCTGTTGGCTTCACCTCCGTGTATCTCCAGAACAGGGCCACTCTTCCACTGCTACCTTCTTGGTCCATGCCACCCTCCAGACAGTGGCCAATACATCACTCCTGTCACTTCTTTGCCTTCACCTTCCAATGGCTCCCGTCGACTCAGTGAGATGGCTCAATGGCAAGTGGGGTGACCTCCAAGGCCCACGTGATCAGGACCCCCACCACCTCTCTGGTGCATCTCCTTTCTACCCTTCCTTACTCTGCTCCAGCCACCCTGGCTTCCTTGCTGATCCTCCAGCAGAGCCAGGATTCGTGCCTCAGGGCCTTTGCACTTGCTGTTCCCTCTGCCTGGGACATTCTTTCCCCCAATATCCACATGGTTCATGCCCTCTCTCCTTTAGTTCTTTGTTCAAATGCCATGCTATTGATGAGGTCTACTCCCCTCTAGAGCCTTGGCACTTCCTACATTCTGACACCTTACCTATTTCCTATCCTTTCCCACCAGAGTCAGCTCCATGAGGTCAGGGACTGTCTTACTCACTGTCACATTCCCAGCGCCTAAAATAGTGCCTGACTTCACAGTCAATAGATACTTGATGGATGGATGGCTAAGTGGATGAATTGGCCTGAGTTCGAGAACAGAGTGCAGTTCTGGGGTAGAACATTCATCCCTTTCTCTGATTTGTAAAACGGGAGGATCGGCAATGAGGGGAATTGTCTATGGCTACACAGTCTGCCTTGGAGCCTGCGCCGCAGGTCAAATCTTTGCTTGACCAAGTGCTTGCAAGTGGCCAATCAGCTCTCTGACCCTGACCAAATCCTCAGCCTCTCTGGGTCTCAGCTTGGAAACAGGGGCTGGGTCCTCCCTTTCCAGTTTTCAAGACGGCCCCGCCACCTCCAGCCGGGCCCCTACCTACCCCAGGCCTACCTCGGATGTGGGTCACGCGTTGTGGGTGGGGGTGGTGTCGGGAGAAGAAGGAGTGGTGGCTGAGGCGGCCAAAGTGGTAGGCACCAGGGGTTTGAGGCTTGGGGGTCTTCAGTGCCGTTTGGATCAGCTGGAAATCCACGATCCCTGGGATCATCAGTTCTTTCTGTGGCCCGCCGTCCCCGTGGCTCCTTGGCCTGTGCTCTGACTTCTTTTCAGCCTTCAGCTCAGCCCTTGGACTGGAGGAGAAGGTCAAGGAGAAGCCAATGGAACCTCCTGGCAGCAATGCCCACCCGGCTCAGAGCTCGGTGCTTATCTGGAGTCTATTCCCGAGACACTCTGAAATCGGTTTCCGGGATTTCACTTCCACCCCCATGGCACCCAAAGCCGGGCCTCCCCCCAGGGTCCTCTCCCAACTGGTACAATCCAGTCCCAGGGAGCCTTCTGTCTTCCTAAGATGCCTTAGCAGGGAGCTAGGATCTATTTGAGAGAACTCAGATGGAATCTCCCAAGACCTCAGTCTTCTCCCACAAACCCTCTCTCAAGCCAGAAAAAAAGAAGCCATAGACCCACCTACTCATCCAAATACCTGGGTTGGAGCAAAGATACCTTATATACACAGACAGACACAGCAAGGGCCTCTCCCCAAGCTGACTATTGGCAACCCAGGAGAAGCCAGCTATAGGCGGTCCCCCTGGCCCCCGTGCCCCCCAGGCAGCCTTGGCCCAGACTCAGCGTCCAGAGGCCAAAGCTGGAGCACCGAGGCCAGACAGCGCCTTTTCCCGTGGGGGCCCCTCCCGGGAGACGCAGAGCTGATGGGGCTGCATTCGGAGTAGCAGCGCTGCGGGGACGCGTCAAGCTCTCGCTCGGCTTCGCTGGAGATAAGCTTCTCGGGTTGTCTGTCCTGCACCCTGCACCCCTGCCCTCTGCTGAGGATGCCGGGCCCTGCCTCTGGAGGAGGAGCTCGAGGTCAGTCCAGCAAGGATCCAAAGGTGGGGTGATCTCCGCCTGGGGCCTGGGGGGACCACCTGCCTGCGCGCTGTCTGTACTCCCTTCTCCCGCTGGCCCTGGCTGAAGGGAGGCCCTCTGGAGAAGAGATGGGCTCTGGATATGCTAAGCAAGGTGCTCTGCCCCGGGACCCTCTGAGGATTTCGCTGACCAGGCCCCTGAGTTTTCTGTGCCGTCCTCGATTGGCCTCTAAGGGATCTGGGACTTAAAGAAATAAAGCAAACCTTCTCTGAAAGCTGCAGTTACCCGGCCTCCCCTACCCCAACTGACGGAGGACGTCACCCCTTAAAAGCCCCAGGGATTCTAGCACTAGGCGCTTCTGCCCCCTGCCACCATGTCCTCTCCTTCCAGGCAGGGACCCAGTTTGTGACCTGTGCTAACTCAGGCCCGAGAACCCACCCGGGGCCTGGCTGAGGGCAGCAGAAGGTGAGGCCTCTCCGTCTGTTGGGTGCCCCTCCGCCATCTTCGTCTCCCACCCCGCCCTGCCCCCACCACCCCCTTGGTCAGCAGCGGGGGGGCCCACGTGGGCTCTTACCTCATCAGTGGATGTTCAGCTAACTGGGTCTCCACCTCCGTAGCCATTGTAGGCTTTCTAACAGAATAAAGGCCGGTGCACCAAACACTAGTGTTGAAGATGGATAACAGGACCTCTCATACACTGGCGGTGGGAGTGTAAATGGAACAGACACTTGGGGGAGAAAAATTGGCAATGTCTTGTAAAATTGAACATTTGCATGCTGTAGCACTCAATGGTTCCTCTCCCCGACACATACCCAACGGATGCTCTTGCTGTCGTACCACTGGGGCTGTTTGTGAGAATGTTCAGACGAACATTGTTCAAATTAGCCAACACCTGGTGACATCCCAAATGTCCAATGGCAGAAAGAACGGGTAAATGAGCTGCGTTACATGTGGGCAATTGAGCATCATATTGCAATGGAAATGAACCACAGCTACACGGAACCACATGAACGAATCTTACAAATAGAACGTGCGGTCAAGGAAAGCAAGTCCCAGAAGACCACATAGCCCAAGATTCCTTTTTGTAAAAGTTAAGCTCAGAGGAAAGCCAAATGATCATAAATGTGATAAAATAAGGGGGGGAAATCAAGAAAATGCTAAACACAAAATTCAGCTAGTGGTTACTTCTGAGAGAAGTCAGGGAGTGGGGGTTAGGATGGGAGGGGAGCAGGTAGGATGTGTTAGTGGTGGTATTCTAGTTCTTGGTTTGAGAGGCGCATTTGCTGGTGCTCATTATAAAATGAAATAGACTAATTCAGTGATGTGGATGAAAGATGATGGGTGTGAAAGTCAAGAATTGTGATTGGTCTAAATCTATGGACCTGAATATAACTGTAGATACGTAGATATGCATATACACACACATACACATCTATAGATCCATGGATTTATCTGTCTCTCTCTCTCCAAAGTGCAGGGGTTGCAGGTCCTAGGGATGGGGTTGGGACGGGAAGTCAGTGCATTCTGAAAATGAGCTCTCAGTCACAAAATCTGCAAAGGACCCCAGAGATCCTCAGGGCCAGCCCCTCAAGCACTGTTTGAGATTGGGGAAGGGGAGACTTGAGGTCACACAGCCAGGACTCCAGGCATCCTGACTCGAAGTCTCCTGATCTCTTCTCTAAAGAGAAAAACAGTTGGTGGAACTTCCTTTGAAGGAAGCTTTGGACATCCTTGATGACAGGGGCTGGGTCTAGAGCACTCACATGCTGCAGGCTTGAGGACAGGCCATTTGGAAGCCCCAACCCATCTGCCTACAGGAAAAAGCACTTGTTAGAACAAAGACGTTCAAATGCTTTTGACTGTGATCATACTAAGAAACTCCTTCGTAGATCATGATTCACACACAGGTGTGCACGCACTTCTGTGTATGTGAAACGGAAGGAAGACCATCCTAAAGCAATCCTTGCCCTTGCCCTTGCCCTTGCCCTTGCCACAAATGATGCACAGTGCTATTTTCATCCTACTTTTTGTTTTCATTTTGTAAATGTTAGATGTGACCCATTCAATTGACTTCATAAGCCACAAATGGGTCACAACCCACAGCCGCGGTAGAGGTCAACGGGGGCTGAGCCAGGCCTGTCTTTTCCAGAGCAGGACGGCTGGGCCCCAGTGTGTCTGCCTCCATCCTCAATTCCCTCTCTGCCTGGCCCCCACGCAGCTGGACACAAGGGGTCTGAACGCTCACACCAGTCCTGAGACAGAACTTTGCTTTCCCCATCTCGGCCTCTGGAGGCCCTCCCCTGGCCCCCTGTCTGGCTCTAGTGTCCATTTCCTCCCCGGGAGAGATCCATGGACTCACCGAGGCAAGTACCTGCTACAGTCTGTGTATGAGAAGTCCCTGCTGCCTGAGCAGAAAGGAGCAAGAGGACACATCAACAGGCAGGCAGGCTCGCTGGTTCTGTGGGCAAGCCTTGCCGGCTTTGTGACCGCATGAGCCGGTGGTTGCTAGGCGACCCCTTCCCCACAACCCCAGAACCACCCCCCAGCGCCCCTCTCCTCACCACTCTCCCCAGCTCCTCTGACCCCTCCAGGTTCCCTCCAAGGTCCTTCTCCACCTGGCACTCAGCATTTTCAGTGGGGGCCAAGGGAGACAATGGGAGTCTGGGGACAGTTTCGGCCAGCAAGCGGCAGGCAGAGAGAGAAAAACCAGCAGGCAAAGAAGGCTGATGGAGCTGGGTCCCAGCTTTGTCAGCCCGACTGGGCCTGATGCCACCATAGAGGGCTCTGCCTCCACAAATCCTGTTCCTGGGGATTGATTTGCAGACAGCTGTCTCTTAGCTGGAGAGAAAGGAGGCTGCCCAAGTGACCCAGAGCCTCCCTCCAGCCCTACTCTGGGCAGGATAGCTGGGTGGGAAGACCCTGGTTTTCAGTTGGGCAGGGGTTTCCATCTGATTCGGACACTTCCTAGATGTGCCACCTTGGGTAAGTCACCTTTGCTGCCAGAAACACGAAACAGTGGTAAGAAGGCTCGGTTTGAACACCAGTTCTGCTACTTCCGGGCCGTGTGGCCTCAGACAGATTACCTGATGTCTCTGACCTTCAGTTATCATATCTCGGAAATGGACATGTTACTTACACTTATTCTCATGGGATTGTTGGGAAGACGGAGCGACTTAATGCATGTTGAAGTGTTTAGAACAGTGCCAGGCACTAAGTATGATCTCCTACCATTATTGTCTTCTCTGAGCCTGTACGACAGGGCAGCCTCTTCTACCCCTGGTGTCCTTCTGAAGGACAAATGAGCTCAGGGAAGCCAGGGACCTAGTCTTTTACCTGGTACACACGAGATGCTCAAAAATGGTAACGGTAATACTCATTAATATTGGTGTCTTGATGGAGGTAGGATTTTATATTATATATAGTTTTATAGGTGGGATGAGTCCTTAGTCTGAGAACTCCCTTGGGTAATTCACTTGATTGCTCTAAGGCTCAACTCGGACACCCGTAAAATGAAGTGAGGATATCCCTTAGTCCATGGGGTGTGATGAGATCAGGCACCGTGAGCGGTGCAAACTGGTTCTGTAAACTTAAGGGAGAGTGCTTGATGCTGTGTGTTCTGCTAGGAAGGAAGAAAAAGAAGGAAAGCTAGAGGCAAACCCAACTCCTTCAAAAGTTCTGCCCATCCCAGCTGAGGGTGGGGATTCAAACGACGGTGGTGACCCATTGTGGGGTAGTGCCTGATCTTGGCCTTGCCCCAAATGCTTCTCCATCCGTACAGGTCAGAATGGTCTCCACCTAAGTGTAGCTTTTCCTGGGCCTGTCTCTGCGGGAATGAGGTGACCCATCCTTCTTCCATGCTTCTGGGAATTCTGGCTACTATTATGATAAACAATCCTCTGTTTGAAAGAAGAGAAAGCTTTCTTCCTTCCTGCCCAGTCCCTCCCTGTTGCTTCCAGCACACTTGGGGGGTTTCCCACCTGGGAGCTGATGCGGCTGAAACTAAAGCCCATCTTTCCCTTCCGGCTGTACCTCTTATTCTTCCATTATATTCTTCAGAACCCAACACGGGGTCTGCATGCTGATTGCAGTGGTGGGGGTGAAGGGAGTACCTTAAGGAATGCCTTCAACACTGGTTTGTAAGGTTGATAACATAATTGCTAAGCAAACCCTTCTGACATCTTCTTTATGGACTGTCCAAGGCAGGAGCGTCTGTCTGCCTGGAAATGCTTTGAAGTTTGGTCCTCGTGCTCCGATGCCTCAGTTATGAGAGGAGGAACATAAAATGTCATGGAGCATTGGCTATGTGCCAGGCCCTGTGCTCATCCTTTTAGACACATTATCTCAAATCCTGAGTTACAGGTGTTGCAATTATTTCTAAAATTTCTAAAATTTCCATTTTGTTCTTTATAGCTTCTATTTCTTTGCTAAAACTTTCTATTTTTTTCCCTCACTTATTTCAAATGTGTTTCTAATTGCTCTTTGGAACTTTTTTTTTTGTCATGGCTGCTATAAAATCTTCCTCAGATAATTCTAACATCATTGTCATTTTGGTATTGGCATCATTGTGTTTTTTGAGGAATTTCTCCAGAACATCGACATTTTCAAGTTTATAGCATAGGTTGTATCTTTGTATTGTCTCCAGGAACTATGGTGATCTGTTGTTTCCTTCCAGATATTGGACTGGATTTGCAATCTCTCTCTCTCTCTCTCTCTCTCTTCCTCTGTCAATCCTGCCAAGGGTTATTTATTTTTATCAGTTTTTTTCTCAAAGAACAAATGTTTAGGCTTTTGGTCTTCTCTACCTAATTTCTTCCACTCTCTTTGGGTCTAGTTTGTGTTTTTATAATTTCTTTTAAAGACTTTTTTTAAAAAAAGATTTTATTTATTTATTTGACAGAGAGAGACACAGCGAGAGAAGGAACACAAGCAGGGGGAGTGAGAGAGGGAGAAGCAGGCTCCCCGCGGAGCAGGGAGCCCGATGTGGGGCTCGATCCCAGGATCCCGGGACCATGACCTAAGCTGAAGGCAGACGCTTAACGACTGAGCCCCTTTATAATTTTTTGATAGGGATACTTAAGACATTGACTTTCTGCTTCCTTCTTTTCAAATGTGTTCTACATTTAAGTCCATCATAGCTGCGTCCAGCATGTTCTTCAGTTTGTAGGAGATCAGTGCTACCTTAATTTGGCTTTAATTTGCATTTCTTCAGTCAGTCAGATTGAGCATCTTTTCCTATGCTTAAGAGCTAGTTGAGTATATTTCTTGCTATTTCTGTTCATATCTTTTATCCACTTTTTCTGTTTGTTAGTCCTTCTTACATGAATATATGCATTTATAAGAGACGTTATCCCTTTGCAACATGAGTAAGAAAACATTTTTTTCTGGTTCATTAATTTTCTTTGACTCTGCGTATGCTATGAACACAGTTTTAGATCCCTCTCCTGCTCAACTGCTGCTCTGCTGAGGGCTTGCTCACCTACTTTTGGAATTCATACAGGAGAGCTCATTTTGACCCATTCTGCTTTGTTGGGCTTTCATTTACCCCCACGTAAAGTCAAGAGAACAGAGGCCAGAAGCACAGGCTTTGGAGACCCTCGGGCCTGCCATTCCCTAGCTGTGTG